CTACAGGTAACCCCTCACCGTGTGCTTAGATGCTCAGCGGAGTGCTTATTTTTGATGAGGCCAACACCAACGAGACTCCTTGAACGCGGAAATAAGCGGGGAGAACAAGGATCCAGTTTTAAGTTCTAGGCTAATTTTCTTATCCTTCTTCATCACCTCTGACCAATTCTACCTTAATTTTTGACGGCCCGCCTTTTCATCGTAAACTCCCACTCTGAACAGGATGAATGTGAGCGAGTCTTCTTTCGAAAGCTGAAAGTAAGGGTGTGTGGCTGGAGTTGGTAAAGCAAAGGAAAGAAGGCACCGCGGCTTCGCGTCAGAGGTTGAACGTTCAGCTTATTCAGCTCCTACAACAACGTACATACCACGAAGTACAGCGGATGACAGCACTTATCAGAAGGGCACCAAACATTCATTCATATTCACTACTGATAAAAAAAATAGCTGAAGCGAGGGTAGCAATCTTGCTGACCCCGTATAGGTATGAAGGATCACCGCGGATGGAATTGATGTAGAGGTAAGGTACATCTTAGCACGCTAATCGCAGACCAATCTCGAATCCAATCTGGCTCAGGACAACAGAGCCTTACATCCCTCTGATCAACTATCCGATAGCAGACTTCTCTCACTTCGGTCCTCTTCCATAAGTGATTGCATTGGCTAAATCGCATTCAAATTCCACTGCGACTCGAACGAATGGAAACAGAACGCATGGCGCATACCGAGAGCGACTTTTCAACAAATGCTCCTCGAAGAGCACTCAGCATTAATATCGGTAGCATAGACGTTCAAGCAGGAACAGCACACCTATCTTTCAGTAGACGCTTAGGGGCGATATACCTACACAGTTGCTTGTGCATTTGCTGGCTTTTCCTGATCATCATTATCGCTGTTTGGTCCAGTACCTACATGGCTATGGTCGAAAACCAGGTTCCCTCATGAGTATGATGAATTTCAGAAAGTTCATCTAGTCATCTCTGTGTGGGACTACGACAAGATGAGTAAAAATGACTTCATCGGAGAGGTACGCGAGCATTTACATTCTTTCTAGGAGCATGACTCGGTTCTCCACGCTCTAGAAGGACATGCTTTCTCTATGACAGAGAATAAATGTCGCAGAATTTGTTATATTCAAAGAGAAAAAATAATCTATTCATTCCGCTTCCAGGTGACGCTGTCGTCGCGCTCGCTCAACCTTCCACAGGTGGGCATTACGCATTGTTCATAGGTGCCCGAGCCAGCTGGCAGTATTCCCTTGAGATTTAGGCCTCATCAGATTCTGTCAGCGCTCGTCCGGTCATTTTGAAGACAAACCTCACAATCACTTACTTAGTTGTGGTTCTGCGCTAAATATAAAAGTAGAGGTTCGATGGGGACGAATACTGTAGAAAAAAGGGAAACAGTCCTCGAAATATAGGAACCCTCTCCCTCTAGGTTGTGAGAGAGTTAGAAGAACAGCCAGCAAGATAAGAGGTACTAGGTCCTAAGGAGGGAGACCAGACTCAGGATCGAAAGCATAGCGACGAGAGGGGGGGGGGTGTAGACACTTTGTGAGCAAAAGGGACTACGATCAGCCGCGTTCGTTACAAAGCTCTAGGCTATTGTCGCTCTCTTGTCGGGCTGCGAGAACAGCACTTTGCGACCTTTGTGGACTCACGCCTTACTGTCCACCGAAGCGACTCAGTCTCTTATTCGTCGTGGGGTGTGCCTTTAATCCACACATTTAGTCGTGACAACTAGACGCCTCCGTTCTTCTTACTTTGATGTATGTTGTGTGCTGGAGCTAAATTAACAAATTAACACGCTGACGGCAGCGCGGGTTTTCACTTTTTGGTCGCATGGGATCAGACCAATTTTGGGAATGCGCCTACCTTGACTTACAACCATTTTTGTGTTTGAATGCACAAAAAGTTGATGTCAGAGAGTAACTTCAGCAATGACCAAAGCATGAACGTTACTGAGATATGAAAGTAGAATTTCATCTAAGAGACGTTTGATTACGAAAAATATTTCAACCCCCACTGCAAATGGCGTCGAAAGCATTTTCAGCTTTGCGTTAAAAACAAATATTCTGCCATCTGCAGAGTTTTGTATCACTCCTACTATGTTCTTTATATGTGCGATCATGACACTAACATGGAGAAAAAGCGTAAGAGAACAGAAAACTTTGGGAGGCTCGGGAAACCGTTGCGCAATCGAAGCGTCTGGGCCTGTAGTTCATACCGTGTTAAAGAACTGTCTATTGAAAAACATTATAGAAAACTAAGAAGTAGGTGCGCATGCGGGAGAAATAAACAGTAAATTTTTGACGTCGTCAGATGCCCCATGCGGCCTGTTTGATTTGACGCGTCAGGCTGTCGTCAATGTGTTCAAGATTGAAGATTGTTCTGGCCCAATAATCCATTATAATTTACTCCCTGTTGATATGTTTCGAAAATAATGTACCCAGATCGATCATGGATACCGCGACTACGTTAGCGTTTAGGTTACCCATGCCTGTCACGAGCAGTGGGCAGAAAATGATGACGTCACGACGACCGGTCGTTCAATGGCATACGCTGCAAGAGCGGATGGAAAAGGAAAAAGAGACTAGTAAGTCGAAAGATTAGCCGTGGAGCAGAGGGATTCGTGGTCGTCCACGTTATCTTCAGCGATGTCAATGCTCGTCGACACATATCATCGGATACGGTCAGGAGATTTTAATCTTGTGAAAGGTGGTTGAACGCCCTAGTGGAACAAATTGGGCCTTTGGTGTGTGTGATGTGAGATGACCATCAGACTTCTCTGCTAAAATCGCAGCAGTGGCTCCAATGGGAATCATGTTGCTAACAGATTGCTCTTATTCCTCTTGGCTTTTCCCTCACTTTCATCCCTTTCCTTCTACTCTCAAACTCGGTTTGTATGGTTCTTCTACTCTCAACTCATTCGTCTCTGGGATTTCTCTTAAGGAACTCTCTCCTCATCTTTACTCTTTACGTGAATTCCCTTTTCATTGGGGCTGAAAAGGGAAGAGCAGAAGGCATCATCCATATGAGAACTGCGTTGGAAATGACATTCGGCAGGAAGAATTGCGTGTTCTGATACATATTTAATCTCCGGGCATGAGGGAGAAGGCCTGATAAATAGATGGTTTTGGGGTTTATGCGGCACATCTGCTAAACATGAGCAGGAAATAAGGCATTTTTCGAGGAAAGAGATAGAGGGTTTCCGTCATGATTGTTTCCCCAACCAAGTGGAAACCATGAGAATACAGGTACCCAATTAAGTCGCTCATACGGCAAATCTTGCTAGAGTGGAAATTCTATTGGATTATGGATCAATTGTTTTAATGCTCTTCAAACGCGTACTTCCGATATCCGGAATTCCTTTTTTCAAGATAAAAGAGACTGCGTGTCAGGACCTGAGCACCACGGCAATGCAGCGGTCACGGCGTCAGCCCACATTTGTTTATTCCCGCGCAAAAATGCCGCAGTAGCTAGGCATTACAGCGCACAGCCCTGGCCCACATTTGGCTCGAGACGGTCAATGGAGATTTGTACCTTGCCTCTCTCTCACCTCAGTGTTTTCTGGGTGGAAAGGCCGGAGAAAGATATCATGAGAATTTGGACCAGTGAGGCCCTAGGCCCCCGATTGAATTGGTTATGTCACAAGAATGAGGAGTCGATGGGCACATGGATGTACTGGTAAATCCAGAATTATACGCACTGTGGGTCATCAGTGCCTTGATGTGCTAAGGCAGATCACTGGAGCAAACAAGAGGCGACAGTTTTCTTCCACAGATGGTTGGGAAAGTTACCAAGATTCTCCGGTAAAACTTTCTTCGGACAGCACTGACCGGGTATGGTTTGGTGATCATTCAGTCGTGTACACTCCCAAAAAGGCCTAAGAAGTTCTAGCACATCACAGGGTATGATTAGTAGGCACGCTTCCAGTAGCATTCTCAAAAAGAGTGACAACGAAGAAATCCAAAAAATATCATAACAAATTCTGCCAAAAACTATGTTTTGAAGGCACAATTCATGGTGGTGCTCTAGAAGGCTCATTACACTTACTCATTGGTTCGGCTCCCCTCGTAGCTATCTAACAGGAAGGATGCTTCCATAAGACGGGGACGCCCTGGGAGTACACTTTGCGAAAGAACATACCACGAAACGTGAACGTAGGAACTGCCGAGCATCCCGGAAAACTAGGAGCTTCCTCGAAGTTACAGACTGAATAATTAGTTATACAATGAGTGAACGCACGAAGACTGGCAGTTCAGTTTTTCGAATTTCTTCAAAAAAACTCACTTAAGCCGTTGTCAGTTGTCATCACCTCTTCGGCCGCGTTTTTGACGCATGAGACTGT